CACACTAGGTCCAGATTCAATTTCTTTTGGTTCATTTCTTTCCTTTTGTTTCAGGAGTGTACACCTTAAACAGTGAGAAGAAGTGGACAAATAAGGCCGTTGGAGAGAAGCTTCCTGAATGTGAAGCAGGTGGGAAACCAAGGGCCCTGGGAAGCAGCCCAAGGATAGGTGTTGAGGGTCCAGTGCTGGGGAGGGTATCTCGGACGGAGTGTCCTAGAGGAACATCCCCCTCCTCTGTGGCTTCTACTGAGCATACAAAAGCCAAGACCAGGGACCAGGAACCACAAATGGCGAGCAGAAAATTGAGCAGTTAGGTGATGATTTCCCACAAAATTTCACTAAGGATCTTGTTCATTTGGGCCTGCAGGGCATTGACTGAATCTACTGTGTACACTGCCCCCAGGGGGTCAGGAGACCTTATGTGTACAGGAAGCCTGCCCAGAGAGCCCAGGGTCAAGGGTAAAGCCAGCTCCAGGAAGAACAACCCATGGAAGTATCACAGAAGGCTGGAGGTGGATTAGGACTTCTGTTCCTTGTTATTAGGAAGAGCTATTGCTCTCCCCTTTTCCTTTTTGGAACAAGAAGATTTTGCCTACCCTCTTCTGCTGTTGGTGTGGAACTGCCAACATGCCTTATATTAATTGCAGTGTATATAAAACCTGAGTTCTGGCCAATGCTGCTATAGATCCCTCTTTATTCAGATAGAATGGGTTAGTATAGCTTGTCAGTTACAATGAATTTCAAGGAATTGTGGACATGTCCTTGTTGTGATGAACTGTTTAAATATACACACAGCTCATCAGCCAGGGATTCAAAATCTCAGTTTCTTCTGTTGATTTAGGAAAGCAGGAAACAGAACTCTGCCTTAGTGATGGAAACAATTGACTAAACATGGGAAAGGAGAGGACAGATGGTAAGGGCAGAGGGTGTAAATATTCCTGGCTCTGAAGAAGTGTACAATAATTTAGACAGCAAGATAGCCAAAGCTTTTACCCCCGCTCCTGGACCCGGAGAGTCTCATGTTTCTGCTCATGATTTCCTTGTTCTCCTTGACAGTGTGTGGAAAGCCCAAGAACCCAGTGGATCAGGTCCAACGGATCCTGGGTGGATCGGTGGATGCCAAAGGCAGCTTTCCCTGGCAGGCTAAGATGGTTTCTCACCATAACCTCACCTCGGGGGCCACACTGATCAATGAACAATGGCTGTTGACCACGGCTAAAAACCTCTTCCTGGGTCATGCAGATGATGCCAAAGCAAAAGACATTGCCCCTACTTTAAGACTCTTTTTGGGGAAAAATCAGCTTGTGGAGATTGAGAAGGTGATTCTCCATCCTGACTACCTCCAGGTTGACATTGGGCTCATCAAACTCAAACAGAAGGTGCCCGTTGATGAGAGAGTCATGCCCATTTGCTTACCTTCCAAAGATTATGCGCAAGTGGGACGTATAGGTTATGTGCCTGGCTGGGGGCGAAATGCCAACTTTAATTTTACTGAGCTACTGAAGTATGTTATGTTGCCTGTGGCTGAGCAGGAAAGCTGTGTAAAACACTATGAAGGTAGCACAGTGCCTGAAAAGAAGCAACAAAAGAGCCCTGTAGGAGTGCAGCCCATACTGAATGAGCACACCTTCTGTGCTGGCCTGTCCAAGTACCAGGAAGACACCTGCTATGGTGACGCTGGTAGCGCCTTTGCCGTCCATGACGAGGATGAGGACACCTGGTATGCGGCTGGGATCCTGAGCTTTGATAAGAGCTGTCAGGTGGCTGAGTACGGTGTGTACGTGAAGGTGCCCTCTATCCTGGACTGGGTTCAGAAAACCATAGCTGACAACTAATGTCTTACCTAAAATCAAGATTTCACTCCAGAAGGGGGAAACTGGATGGGAGTGGAGGGAAGAAAACCTGATGTGAAATTGATGGGTTCCAGACCTGCATGGCTGAAATAAAGAGCTTTTTTCTGACTCCTTTCTGTGCCATTTTTTTTTTCCCTTTAAGCCTTGGGTCTTTAAACAATTTTTATTTTTTTCCATCACCACTTACACCATCCATACCCTCTTCCACCTCCACCCACCCTCCACCTCCCCAGCCTTGGGCCTGTCTTACCCTCTCATGTATGGTACAGCAGCAGCCAAATGGCACAGGGTCTACTGGGAGTGTGGCAGAAAACACGCCAGGTCAACTGTAAACCCTGAAGGTTATAAAAAAAATGTCTCACTGTGGGGGTCGCACTCATTGACTGAGTGCCTACTGACGTGGGCCTCAGAAATATCATCATTATCCTTGTTTTACAGACAAGGGAACAGAGATTTAGGGTTAAGTGATTTGTTAAGATATTAAGTAGTGAAGCTGAAACTTGAACCTAGGTCTGCCTGAATACAAACCCTGAAATTTTCGCTGCATTCTTTCCCTTCTTCAAAGTGAGTTAGTAAAGGGTGCTGGCCTTGTGAAGAAGATGCTAGATCAAAGAGGGATGAAAACAAATGTTTTGATACAGACATTTGTTGTCTAACACATCAGCATCTCAGAAAACAAAGTAAGATGGTGTAAAGGCGGGCTCTTTGGACTTGCTGGGTCCAAATCATTGCTTGGCCCAAAATTTGCCAAGTGCCTTAAGTTCCCTACGTATCAATTCCCTGGTCTTTTCCATGAGGAGATTAAGCCATATGATCTCTATTTATCTATTTTTTAAAATCCTTACTTTAAGACATTTTTTCATTGCTTTAGGAAACAGAGGAAGAGGGGGGAGGACAGAGAACATTGATGTGAGAGAGAAACAGTAATTGGTTGTCTCTTGTAGTTTCCCTGACTGGGGCTTGAACCAACAACCTTTCAGTGTACGGGATGATGCTCCAATCAACTGAGCGACACCAGCCAGGGCTACGCCAGATGATCTTTAAAGTCTCTGCCAAAAATAACATTCTGGGACTCAGTAAAGGAGTTATGAAGAATTTGCCTGCTTTAATACCTTTGAAGATTTCTTGTTCTTCCGGGGTTCCCTGGCACAACCTGCCACCACTTTGGCAAGTTACTCCTCCTCTCAAAACCTCACGGGGCTACTGGTACTGACTTTCTAGTGAGAGATACAGAGCGGGAGGGCCATGGGCAAGGCAGCATGTGACCTGTTTTGCAGCCACTGACCTGGTTGCCACAGAAGCCCAGTTCCATGCAGGCAGCACTGAACTGCAAGCCCAGCCCCCTTGCTAGGTACTTCCATTCTCAGGCTTCTCTGCAGGGAGAGGTGACCATGCAACCTGGTTCTGACTAAAGTGACAGAGAAGGAAGGCTGCTGGGTGCTTTTGTGTCCTTCACTGATGAAAGGAGAGGGCCGCTCAAGGAATAAGACAAACAAAACCCTTTCATCACCACCTCCATTTTCTCCTGTCCCTCTGCTTTCATGGTAGTCATGAGGCATGGAACTGCGGCAGCCATCCTAGGACCCTGAGGCCACCGGCACTGACATGAAGAATCAATATGCTGAGAATGATAAAAAGAAGCTGGGTCCCCGATGATGCTATTGAGGTAACTAGATCTGCCTCCCTCCAGACCTCTATGAAAGAATAAAACATCATCTTTGCCAAGTACTGTTAGTTTTGTTTTTTTTTTTTAAATCACTTACAGCCTAAATAACACAATCCTTGATGTGTTGCAAGTGCTCAGATACTGGGAAAATCTCAGAACTTGCATGTGTAGAATTCTTGTAACTTCTTTCCTCCCAAGGGCTTTAGGGGATGCTTCTCCAAAGTCCTGATTTGCGTTTTGTTCCTATATTAGTTGCTTTCCATTCCTCAAGTATGTATTGAGTGTGTATTTTATGCTCTGCCCCATTTTAGATGTGTAAATACGAATGACTCCTGGATGGGAACAAAGGCTTCTTAGAGGAGGCAATGCGAGTCATAAAGGAAAATAGGGGGTATTCCTCTGGAAAATGGGAGGGGAGGGGCCCCAGGAGGACGGAGGCCCCAGTGCCTGGAGCTGGTGGAGAGTGTTCAGAGAGCCCTAGGGTGTAGCGTCCCCAGGGGGCAGGCAGGAGGTGCTGCTGAGGGAGGCAGAGAAGACATGTGAACTGAGAAAACACCTATGGATCTCATTATTTTTGTCCTGAGTGGTGACCAGAAGCCACTTAATACAATCAGATAATTCTTCAGGAAAACTTAGGGCTTAAGGTACTACCAGAAGAAAAAGGTATAACTGTATTGTAAAAGGCTTTTAGAAATGTGTTTGCAGGAGCCCTGACCAGTGTGGCTTCATTGACTGGGCACTGTTGTGCAAAGCGAAAGGCTGCCAGTTCAGTTCCTGGTTGGGGCATATGCCTCGGCTGTGAGTTTCGTCTTGGGTTGTGGTGTGTATGAGAAACCGTCGATGTTTCTCTTGCATCAATGCTTCTCTCCCTGTGTTCCTCCCTTCTCTCTCTAAAAAATAAGTAAATAATTTGTGTTTGTATGATTTTTCAGTTTCTGACTATTCTCTTTCATATTCTAAATAAAGGTCTAAGTCCGTCATGGGCCCACTAGCTCTGACCTGTTCAACATTATCAGTGGATCTGGAGCATGTAAGTGAGGAGGACTTCACAGTGAAGGCCAGAATATGGTGAAATTAACGACAACATCAGGTGGCATTTTACATCATAAGGAAGAAAGGCCATATTTCGGTATGACAAGAAGGTATATTGGTGACGGGTCAGTATACTGAAGGCTTATAGCAGAAAAGAGTTCAGTTAGCAGAAGAGCTTTCTGTCTGCAAGGGTTCTGGAACCTTTCTTCTGGGAGACCCTTCAGAGCAAGACCCTTGCCTTTGTGAAATGGAACACTCAGACGGCTTGCTTGCATTGACTCCTGTAAAGGTTAGGTCTCTTCTAAGTGGGAAAAGCAGCCCATATTCTTTCTAACAATTCTCATACCTCTTTCTAGTCATGAGCTTTTGAAGTAGTTTTCTGTCGCAGAAAGAGGTAGAATTCTGATTTTTGGGAGAACTCTGTTCCTATTTACTAAGGGTAGGTAATTCTTTTTTTTTTTTTTTAAACTCAAATTGGGTGCTGGATGGTAAAGGTTCAAGTTTCACTTCCAGGGCAATGTAACAGCACAAAAGCTAGTAACTTTACAAACCAGGACACTGTTTTCAAAGTGTGAGCCAGAAGGCTCCAAAATAAAGCGAACTTGCCTGTTTTCAGTAGAGAATTATTCATTTCAAGCGAAACTGGGACAATTAGGACTGCAGTAAAAGAGCACGATGGCTATAAATATGTGAGTGGAGGAATGGGCAAGGATGAGGGTGGGGGGTGTGTATGTACACATAGGGTAGAAAGTAAGTATTCTTGCTTCTTCCATTTTACTTGTGTATCAAATAAACATAGTTAAATCAAATTGTACTAGCCAATGTTTAGGGGAATTCTGTATTACATTAGGGATAAAGAAAAGCACAATATAGAGAAAAGTCAAACAAATCATGCAGGGAAACTGATCACAGTTGATCTGAGTGCTCTGAGGTTTGCGGGGAATAAACACAGGCTTCCCAGATCATCACAGTCCTGGCAGGGTCTTCTGCTTGGGGCCGGTATTTTCTATACAAGTCAAACCTCTCCTCCACTGGGACACTGAGCTCGTTTCCGAAGGAATCCAGAAATACAGCACAGCTGCGTTCAGATACTGTTTCTCGAGATGTGCCTTTCTCTTCAACTTTGACAGCAGTTAATGTGCTAAATGTCTTGATAGAGAAGGTCATATTTAGGAATATTCTTGGGATCAATAGGACTTTGGACAATAAGTTTTCCCCTCATTGCTCCTCGATAAATTACTTCAATCAAATCTATGAAGTCTTGTTTGGTTTTGAAACTTCCCACAAACTTAGTGTGATCTGGAGACCTAGATAGCATAGAAGAGAAACAACCTTCCTCAGAACTTTTAATAATTACTTGCTGAAGACCTTCAGGATAAACAAAATGCATAGTGGCTCTCTTACTCTCTTCTTGTCAGGGAGACATCAGACACAAGGCCCGACACTGATTTTTCCATTTGTGATTACAGGGCGCATTTGATATATGACTAAACCCAGTGCTGTGGGCCACTGGGATAGCATGTAAGGCATACCATATAAAAACCTTCTGTTCAAAATGTATTTTAATCACTTCTCATCTCATTATCAAATAGAATTCCCTGAGTACTTGTGTAGGCGTAGTTTGTTTTGTTGCTGTTGTGATTGGCTAGGCACTGGGCAAAGCCCTCATCATGGTCTCCAAGTTCCAGTCACTTCTATTTTTGAGTGGTATCAATTTTTTTCTTTTTCTTTTCTTTTGTTCTTTCTTTTTTATTATTTTGAACACTAAGTATGCTCACCGCAGAAATTTTGTAGACAAAAAACAAACAAAAACCCCACCCTATTTTGGTGTGTATATCCCTCCAATCATATGCATGTGTGTATATACATGTGTCTTTATGTGCATTTTATTTTTCCACAATTGAAATTATATCATACATACATATTTTACAGTGTGCTTTTTTTCAACTAACATGTATTTCTTTCAAGTTGTTTGTCATGCATCTACAATATCAGAGTAAATGGGTACCTAACATCCCTTTGTGGACATCTAAGTTCTAAGTATTTTGCTTCCTAAATAGTCATGAGATAAGTATCTATGGAGCCAATTTTGCCCACTTGCAGGATTATTTTTGTCCGATAAACTCCTGAAAATGCAACTGCTGAGTTAAAAATTTTACACACTTTTAAGGTGTTTGGTATGTAACGCCATAAATCACCCTCTGAAAAGGTTGCAGCTCAAAACTTACTTACATCAACCACATTATAGAAGAATAAGTACTTTTAGAACACTTAAAACACCTAATATTTTATGCACTTTCCAACTGATAATGACCAAGCAGGTACACAGATCTAGACAAGAGGATATCTCAACTACAGTAAGAAATAATAAGAATTATGGATATATTAAAAATAAATATTAATACTGGGATCCTGATTGGATGCAGTGGAAGACATTAAAGATGATTTCATATTATGTATTCTTGACAGGCTTTGTTGAAGAATAACTTTAACAAAAGAATAACTTCTTCTAGCCCTGGTTTCTGTGGCTCAGGGAACTGAGTGCTGGCCTGCAAACCAAAAGGCAGACAGTTCAATTCCCAGTCAGGGCACATGCCAGGGTTGTGAGCCATGTCTCCAGTAGGGGGCGTGTGAGAGGCAACACATCAATGTGCTTTCTCACACGTGGATGTTTCTCACCCTCTCTCCTTCCTTTCCCCCCTCTCTAATAATAAATAAAAAAAAAAAAATCTTTAAAAAAAGATAAAAAAAAGAACAACTTCTTTTCTGGCAGAAGACAGGAAACTTGGCGAGAGAAGCAAGTCTTACTTTGCTCAAAGGAGTCCTTTTATAAATGCAACCTACTAGTCCCAAAAGTTAAAGAACAGTGACATATTTTGTTTTAAATGAAATTCTTGGGAAACTTAAGAAAATGGTTCTATATTTTCTAAACTGAAGGATGGTTAGTGCTTCATGCCTGTAGTATTCTTTCATACTTAAATAGGAAATTAAAATTTGCCAATCATACCAAAACAGTCTTTTTGCATCAAGCTTCACATAAAATATTAGAGAGTGCATCAGTTAAGGAAACAGTACCAATATAAGACTCACTGAGCAACCACTGCATGCAAACAGGTAAGTTACCAAAACTGCTATAAAAGAAACTTTGAGATGGCGATAGCTCACGTCAACCTAACTTACCCATAATCCACTTTCATATGCTGCCCATTGAAGAAAAATACAGTAGATGGAATATAACTGATGTCAAAATAGTGTGTATAAACTGGAGTTTGGTCCACATCCACCAGATAAATAGCAGCCATTTTACTCAAGTCAGAAGAAGTCTTAGAAAGCTGCAAATGAGGACAGAGATGTAGGTTACAATATGAAAGGTAGCTAATGCTTCCTCTGTGAAATGTTTTAATAGAATATTCTGCTTGAAAAAAATTCCTGGGCCACATGTCTAGCCTGTTTGAGTTCCAAATTAGACACAGAATAGCCTTATCATTCAGTCTGAATCACTGTTGGTAGGGTTATGAGAAGGCCCTGGATAAATTGTGTGAATATATTCCTTCATTTTTTGTTACTTTTGATTGTAAAGTTATTTTTATAAAATTTTTTATGGATTTATAAAATCCATGCTCACTTAAAGCAAAAACAACTGATCAATATATACTACAGACATCAAAATTCCTCAAAAACCTCTTTCCTTCCAATTACCACATAAATGATAGTTATATAAAAAACAGCAAACACATCACACTTAGTACATGCTAAGTGCCCTAAGTGCTTTCCATTTCTAACTCACTCAGCCCTTACAATATTCCTATGAGTTACACACTATCATAGACTCTGTTTGACAGATGAGGAAACTGAGACACGAGGTAATTTTGCCCCTGGTCACACAGCTGGTAGGTAGTCAGCCAGGTTTGGATTTGAATTCAGACAGCTTGGCCTTGTGGTCTGTACTCGACCTCTAGTGCTAGTCTTTCCTCACTACAGCTGATGGTATAATCCTCTGGCTCTTTCCCCCACAGGGCAACACATCACACACTCGAATTTAATTACAGCAGAGGATTCCTTCATTTCATCCACCTAATGATGTCAGCAATAGAAATAGTGGAAGAGGTCTTAGTCTTGGGGTAAGTCTCTTTCCATAATAAACTGAGATAAGAATAAACTTACTCTGTCCCAAACTGCCCTCCCTATTTATCGGTGTGAAGATGGGTAGTGAAGTCAGAAATTATCATAAGGCACACAATGGAACAGCACAATAGTAAAGCATATTTGCAGCCAGAGAAAACAAAGTTCAAATCCCAACTCTGCAATTTAGTGGTTCTGTGCCCGTGGGAAGTCACCTGGCCTCTCTGGCATTCATTTCTCCCCTTGTGAACAGTAACAGTAATGGACTCAGTGTTGTGAGCACTGAATAAGATAATGTTCGCAGACACTTGTTCATAATGTTTCTGGTCTTTCACTGCCTTCTTGGCAAAGTGGAGCTTCAGCAGCTGCCAGTGGGAAGTACATCCAGGATAGATTCAGCACAATCACAGATTTAGGGGTTCAGCTCTTGGTGAAAGTGTACTAACGACTGAACAGCTATATGCCAGATTCTGCCCATGTTCTTGCATGCACTTTGCAAACGGTGAAGTGAGAATGTATAGATTTTTAGTAAAAACCATTTATTTAAAAAACTCACTTACAATATCATCTAGTTGCAGACACACAGGATCCTCGTCTCTCCCAAACCTGAGAACCAACACCTTCTCTGCAGTGCTTTTTATTGCCTGGTCGACTTCCTTTTTGCTGGTCAGCTTGGGCAACAGGAAGCTCATCTTGAAATAATCCAAATATTAATCCCCCACCGTCAGTCCTGAAATAAAGTTGCAATGTTTAAAGGCAGGTTAGGGGCAGGAGTCCTCAAAAATGAATTTAATTTTTGGAGTAGGTAATGAACATGTTTTTTTCCCAGAGGGAAAAAGGGTTTCATTCAACTCTATCAACATGGTAAAAGGAACACACTCAATGCAGTCTGGTGGCAAGTTAAGTCCACCAGTTTAAAAAGCAACAATATAGAAAGGTATACTGTGAAAAATCTCCCTCCCTCTGTCTCCCCTCAGCTGGCTTAGTCCCTACTGCCCCATCTCTCCCTACACACTGGGTAACTACTTTCTTTAGTTTCTCATGTATCTTCCAGAATTTTATTATGCATTCACTAGAAAATATAAATATGCATTCTTGTTTTTTCCTCTTTTACCCCCAAAATGTCCTTTCCTGTCAGTGTTACAGCAGAAAAAAGATGACATCCTCAAGTTTGATAACTGGGGGCTTCCATTAAAGCAGGGTACAGGGAAAGAGTAGGGTACAGTGCTATACTCTGGGGTAAAGGGGGGGGTTCCCACCTCTAGAGCTGAGAAGCCACGGGAGGGAGTAGTGACCAGAGCTGTGTGGCAGTAATGGCAGAGTGGAGAAGGCCGCTGTCTAGGATATCAGACTATAATTGGGGGATTAAGCCACTCCTCTCCCTCTCTCTGATCTCCTGCTAACGCTCCTACTGGCTGACCCCCAACTGGAACCAGAGGGCAAGGGAGCTGCGGAGGTTGGTAAGCCTCCTGGTTCCAGAGCAGGCTAGAGAAAGAGGAAGAGTGGATCTAAAGGGGCAAACGGCAGACGTCCAGAACACATACGATGTCTTTACCCATGCTTGTGCACTTTGCACTTTTTTACCTAACATGTGAAGATCTTTCCATACCTCTATATGAAAATTTATACATTCTTTGTCATGGCAGCATACTATTTCATGCATATGCCATACTTTTTAAACAGTCCTTTATTGATGGATATTTGCATAATATCAGAAGAGTTCTGTCTGAAAAATTCTTGGTGTATATCTTCTGAGGTGCACTTCATCACGGGGCAAACAGATTCATTAACTGTGTAAAAACCACACACACACAAAATAATAAAATTCTGAGATAGAAGGGCCTAATCCAAACTCCTTATTTTACCTATTAGTTTGCTTATAGTTATACTTCTGGCTACAAGAACAATGATTAGAGTCCAGGCCACTAAATTTCTAGTCTAGCATTCTTTCTACTACATATTAGTTCCTGTTTCTATGATGAAGAAACTCTTTCACCAGTCCTGGCTGGTGTAGTTTCGTTGGTTGGAGCATCACCCCAGAACTAAAAGGTTGTGGGTTCGATTCCAGGTAAGTGCACATGCCTGGGTTGTGGGTTTGATCCCCAGTTTGAGCACGTGCGATTCCTGGTCCGGGTATGTAGGGGAGGCAACCAATTAATGTTTCTCTTCCACAGCCAATTGATGTTTCTCTCTCTCCTTCCCTCTCTCTCTAAAAAGCATTGAAAAAAATGCCCTTGGGTGAGGATAAAAAAAGAAAGAGAAGACAGTATTTGATCAAGGAGCTGTATTTTTGCTTCTATCCATGAGAGACTCGCTGAGATATCTGGTTTTTTAAATTCAGTTCCAAAGCTGGTTAATGCTATGAAAAGGGAGGATTTCTTTCTCTGCTTTTTTGGTGACAAGTCACATTTTAAGATATAAATTAATAAAAATTCATATAGGAAATGAAATTGTCCCAGTAATAGGTCATAATTTAAATAGGGAAGGTGATGGCCAGGAGGGACTTCATCAAATATGAATTGGCAGAACAAATTACTGATGAAAGGGAAAGTCAAAGAGAAGATGGATCTGTCCCACCACTAGAATTCAAACTGTAATTCCTGTATGTTACAGATAAAGAGGAGGAAGTGAGAGGAAGACAAAGTTGTCACGCGGAGTGGTGGGGGAGGGGCACTGGATGAATGCAGGCAGTGGAGAGAAATTGAGACTGCATCTAAGAAAATGTCCACAGCAAAGGATACCAAAAAAGAAGTCTCAAGAGAGGTACAGGTGGACAATAGTAAGCAAAGAAAAACAAATTAAAAATATATTTTAAAAAACCATTCAATTGGCAAAGATTAAACAATAACGGAAAGTGTGAATGAAGGACAGGCATTCAGAGTCCCTGCTGGAATTTAGAGGGAAAATTTTCTTGAAAGAAAGCTGAAATACTCTCTGACCAACAATTCCAGTTCTGAGAATGAGTTCTTAGGAAATAATTAGACACGTGCACAAAAATTTACAAAGGACATTCATCCCATTTATAATGGTAAAAACCTGGAATTAACTTAAATGGCAATTTAATAGAGGACTGCTTAAAAAGAAGATAGTACAGTCCTGCAATGTACTATTATACAGTCACTAAATAATGTGTTAGAGATGAACATTTCAGGTACCGAAAAGTTCTCATGATAAAGAAAAAAGTTGTAAAGCAGTGTGATACCACACTCTATAGTTTAGGTACAAAACCTAACTATAATATAAATGTACATAGTTACAAAGCTTAATAACTGGGAAGGAGTATCCCCAAACACCATCAGTGGCTAACTCTGCGCGTGAACAGACAAGTGAGTTTTATCTGCGTCGGAACGCGGGCCTTTGTCTTTCCAAAATACTCGATATAGTGCATCCTTGAGCAGGAGTCAGGTCGCCAACGGCTCGCGCAGTCCAAAATTCACTTAGCACTTAAGTCGGCCGCTGCATACCCGGATTCCCAGTGGATGGAAAATACAGTTCAGCCTTGAAAAACACGGGTTCGAACAGCGGGGTTCGAACCACGTAGTTCGAACCCCCGTTGTTCAAGGGTCGCTGATAAATTTTTAATAATGTGTGCGTCAGGGAAGACCATACTTACTTTATTTGTACAAGTCACCTCCCTCTTTCTCTTCAATTTAAGACTGTCAACAACCGCGGTCTTTTCTTTAGAGTCAGAACACTGGAGGTTACTTTCTTCCGCCGGAAACGCCGCAGGGACTCTAATCCAAAGCAACTCTGGGGCTGTTGCCTAGCAACCCTCGGCGGCACACTTAAGGAGACGGAAACGGAAAAGGAAAACAGGTGTAGTAGATGACACAGCTCTATAGTCCAATCGGCACATTATTCCAGTCACGGTCTACTTTACCCGTCTCCGACCGGAAGCCTTAGAGTCACTTCCGCCCTTAGTAAACATGACCATCTTCTTTCCTTTTCCCTCCCATCCTTTCATGCTAAAGGTGGGGCCTTGCCTCTTAGGTTAAGTATGATTGGTCGCAGCGAAACTCGGAAGTGTCTCTGATGAGAGACGCAGAGGAGGACGCTCTAGCCTTGAGGGCCTGGTCGCGTTATGTACCATACTGGGAGCCAGGAGCTGGCATTTTCCGGGTTGCTCTCTATGGTTTCTTTGGACGGATAGAAGAGGACACACAAGGTATTATGGGACAATAATGGCCACTTTCAAAGTGTGGGTTTTAGATCTCTAAGGCGATCTGGGCGAGGGGTGGCGGCTCCGGCGGCCCAAAATCCGGGACAGGAGGTCCCAAGAGTCGGGCTTGGTGAGGTGAGTATCCCTTCTTTCTTCCTGACCTGCCTTTCGCCAGTCATGGCGGCTCCAGGAGGCAGATACCAGTCCTTCGCTCAGGTTCGGGCGCGGGTTTGGAAAAGTCTTGTCCCTGTTACCCAACTTATCTTAATTACCCTATGGCTGCTGAGCAGGTCCTGCCTGTCCCGGCTCTTATCTTTGTTCTTGTCAGACCCCGCTGCCTGGTGCGGCCTCACTGACATCCAGGGATGCTCCCCCAGGTTCACCCGCATTAGCCCACTCCCAAACGGGCGTAGAGCCCAGTAGGGCTCCTTGTGTCGTCTTCTCTGTCATAGTGATATCTGTACCAGGTGATTTCCTATACTAGAATGTTGACTCCAGGAGGGCGGGAATTTTTGTCTCTTTTCCTCTCTGCTCTATCCATATTTCCCACAACAGCGATTGGCTCATGGATGATACTGAGTGAATAATTGAAGGAGTAAATCCCGTTTCTTTTTTCATGTTTTTGGGTACCCCATGTAATTTCTTTGTCATTAATCCTCCAGAATCCAGCCCCTTAACTCCTTGTTTGTTCATTTCAGCAGGTAATTAAATCTTGATGTCGGACACCTTGTCCATTGCTGCTGGGATCTTCCTTTGCTGTCTCTAGAAATGTTTCGTTTCCTGTTTTCTTTTAATCAGTTTAAATTCATCCATTTATTCACCAAATGTTTATTTTGATAGGCACTGAGTACAGCATCAGCAAGACAGGCAAGGTTCTCCTGCGTAGAATGGCATTGTAGGGGCATATTTTCTAGTTTAGACAAGTTCTGAGCAGAGCCTATATGGCTCTACCCTCTTGTTTGGACTTTCTCATCTGTATGCAGATGGCACCAATATGCAGCTTTCCCTTTTGTCTTCTACCTGATGGCATTTTAAAACCCATGGCTACTGTTTCTGTGTCTGTACTGTGTCCAGTCTGGTTGGCAATATTAATTTACAGCTGTGTAAAACATTTTGGATTCTGGTGGTACACCACCCCTTGAAATTTCCTTTGCTTCACTGACTTGTTGGAATGAGGGGGATTCCCCAAGCGCTCAGAACTGGTGTATGTTTAGAAGTGGATGGTGTATAATAGAAGGTAAAGAGGAATTTATTACAAGTAGAGTCCCAGGAAATCTTACAGCCACCTACTTTTCAAAAACACTTTTCTAACCTGGTGCTTCTCATCAATATTTTTGGTGAACATGGATTGTTTTTTAAAAATACTTTGCTAACATACACCTGATCCAAAAAAAAGCCACTAAAGTGTGGATCACATGGATGATAGCCTTATACACTGATATTTCTGCTGTATCTATAAGTTAAAAAGGAGAAGAGGTAAAAGAATTCATGTAAAAAAAATATAGTGAGGGACCCAATGAGTATATAGGAGCACAGCAAATCGTATAATGCAACAATTACATTTATGTTACTCTTTATGGTTACAGACAGCTCTCACATGTACTTTCTTGTTTGATTCTCATAGTAACTCCATGGATTAGATACAGCAAAAAGTATTTCCATTTTATAGATATAGAAATTATGCCTAACCAAAGATTAAGTTATTTGCTTACAATCATACAGGTAGAAAATATCAAGAGCCTGGATTCCAGTTGAAGTTTCTGACTTCAAATCCCCTATACTCCCTTATAGGTGCCATCATGCTTCTAATAAGTGTGCCATTGTGAGGCCTGAGGATGCTTTCTTGGATCCTGGTGTTTGGGGTGGATGTGTGTGTTTATGTGCATGCTGTGTGTGTACCTATTTCTTATGTGTGTTGATGTGGGAGTAGGATGATTTTTTGAGATTGGCAATGGCTTGATGGAAGGGTCTTAGCAAGAGGTACTAAAGAAATTCTGTTCTTAGGGGGAAGGTTGAATATACCTGTAACTACAGTATTTTGGAATATAGCAGAGCCTGGTCTATCCCCTCTTCTGTCCAATGCCAAATGGTTTATCTTCCTTCCAGAGAAGCCCCAGAGCCTGTCATGGCGGACACCAGTGAGGATACCTCAATCCATAGATTGGAAGGCACTGATGGGGACTGTCAGGTTGGCGGTCTTATTTGCAAGACCAAAAGTGCGGCCAGTGAGCAGCATGTCTTCAAGGCCCCTGCTCCCCGCCCTTCCTTGCTGGGACTGGACTTGTTAGCTTCCATGAAACGGAGGGAGCGAGAGGAGAAAGACGATGGGGAGGACAAGAAGAAGTCCAGAATCTCTTCCTATAAGGACTGGGAAGAGAGCAAGGATGACCAGAGGGATGCCGAGGAGGATGGTAGTGACCAGTCTGGTCGAAGTATCCGAAAAGACAGGTAAAGGCTTTAGAATGGGTTGGCCCAAAGGGAATGAAAATGGAGGCCAGAAAGTAATGTTCCATGTTTTTCTCTGTTTTTATGGTTTTATTATGGTTCTATAATGGTAAAGGTAGATAGGAATTGGTTCTTCAGATTTGTGGGAACATCCAAAGGAGACCAGTGAGTAGATGTTGATAGAAGGCTTGGGGTTGTTGCCGTATGTATTCCTGCAGTACCAGGGGATAGAGTGGAAAAGCATAGGTCATTCATTTGGCACAGAAGTTTTGGGGTAAGGTTTTTCTCCTATGGAGAGTCCCTTTACCAGTTGCCTTCCCTGTTTCAGACATTATCGATCTGCTCGGGTAGAGACTCCATCCCATCCTGGTGGTGTGAGTGAAGAGTTTTGGGAACGCAGTCGGCAGAGAGAGCGGGAGCGCCGGGAACATGGTGTCTATGCCTCGTCCAAGGAAGAAAAGGATCGGAAGAAGGAGAGATCACGGGACCGAGATTGTGACCGCAAGAGAGACAGAGGTAGACTGCCCCGTATAGTTTCCATAGTCTATTATGCGTTTGAATTGACATGCCAGCCTCTTTCCTGTTGCAGTTTTAATAATGCCCGCTAAATTAGGGAGCCCTATTTGCATAATGTTATCTTGGTTGGTTTTGAGCCTGTTGGGATTAGGAATAGCGGGCAGCTTAAGAATTGTTACTTGCAACATAGCTGCTTTGCTTGAGTGTGTGGTCCTCATTTATTATGAAACTTAGTAATAATGGGTAATATGTCTAAGAAACCAGAGTTGACAGTAGTCTCAGTGATAGAGAAAGGACAGTGCTATGGAGCAAAGGTAGACGTAAAATCCAATGCTGACTTTGCTCAGTATTGTTTGAATTTTATAGTTTATAGGCTTGTAACTATTAAACAGCTACTCACTATAGGTTCGTAACTATTCTTTTCTGAATTCTTACAGGAAAATAACTGTTACTGTGAGTTTGAAACTTTCTAGCCAGTAACTATTTTTTCCCCTTGAAAGAATGGGGATATGTGAGTTGCAGGAGCCCATGGATCGCATTAGAGCAGTGCAGGTTGCACCTGTGAGTGAGTGGGAAGGCCTGTCCTTTCTCTAGGGTGAAGACGGGTGGAAGTTGGGACGGGGCACATGTTTTCTAAGCTCTGCGTTTGACTTTTGACAGATGAGCGGGACAGAAGCAGGCACAGCAGCAGATCAGAGCGGGACGGAGGGTCAGAGCGCAGCAGGAGAAATGAACCGGAGAGCCCACGACACCGACCTAAAGGTAGACTGAGCTGTTGCTGGTGGTGGTTTGTGAGGGTTCAAGTGTGCTAAAGGCAGGGTGAGCATCTCCCATCCCCAGAGGGATTGCTGTGGGCAGAGACAATTCTCAATTCCACCATGAACTTTTTGGACTGTTTGGTTCTGAGTGGGGAGGGAAGGCCCTGGGTCTCTTTATATGAATGGAGATGCTCCTTCAAGGTGAAAGGCTGGTTTACTGGCTATTTTTCCAAATGGCAGAAAGAATAGGGAGCTGGGGATCAGGAGAAGGATTTATTAAAAAGAATTATTTATATTTAAAGGGTTATGTTTGCAGAGACAAATCAGGTATTTCTTGAAATGTTATAAACACAGATGGAAACTGGACTGTTAAAATGTAGATATCTTTAAAAATTGTCAGAACAATTTTATCAATGACAATAGGTACCACATTTATAAATAGTAAGACAAACTTGGGAAACTGACTTTTGGCTAATAGTTCTAGAGCCAAGTCCTGGTTAAATGAGATGTTTCTTATAGATGTGTCTTTTGTGGCTCCAGATGCAGCCACCCCTTCAAGGTCTACCTGGGAGGAAGAGGACAGTGGCTATGGCTCCTCAAAGCGCTCGCAGTGGGAATCGCCCTCTCCTACACCTTCCTATCGGGATTCTGAGCGGAGCCATCGGCTCTCCAGTCGAGATCGGGATAGGTGATGTTCTGGGCCGAGCACCTAGTTTCTCCGGGTGGGTGGCATGGGTGGATGTAATGAGGGCAAAGGGATCTGGGCTGGGAGAGACATGTTCCCCAGCTTAGTGATGCTGATTATACTGTTTCCCAGGTCTGTGAGGAGCAGGTATTCGGATGACACACCTTTGCCAACCCCATCCTACAAATACAACGAGTGGGCTGATGACCGAAGACACCTAGGGTCCACTCCGCGTCTGTCCAGGGGCCGAGGTAAGGCAGTGTGGGAGCGGGGGGCGGGAAAGCAGTGTCGCTCATCCTGGTCAGGCTGAGCAGAG